CTTCCAAACCATTAGAATTCGGAAAATTTCGGATTTTCGAAAATTCCAAAGACTTTGACAATTCTTGAAACATTCAAGTTTCGAAATGTTCAAAATTTCCAGGAGCCGCGGAATCCGAGAAAACAGGCGACCCGGATTCCCCAAAACTCCAAACCACTGGAATTTTTCCCAACCATCCTGTGGTTGTGGGTCCTCGTGTTGGGGAGACGGTGCCCCGCGTTCTCTCCCTCTTCCTTCCTTCTCCTCCCCCTCCTCCCCCTTCCTCCTCCCCCTCCTGGCCTTTGCTCTCCGCGTGTCTCTGTTTCGGTGCGCCCCTCGCACGTATCGTGGCCCCATAGGGGGTTCCGCCGAAGGCCCGATAGGGAGCTCCACCGAAGGCGCCAGTGGCTGCTTTCGCCCGCATGGCGCCGCCTGGGGCGCCCGTGCTGCAGCTGTGGCCGCGCGGGCGATGCGGGGGCCCGCGCCCGCCCCAGTGTCCTCGGCTGAGGACGCGCGGCGGGGGTGGGAACCGTGGCGGGCCCTTGCCTCTGGAGCCGGCCCTCCTGGACTGGATCGCCGTCGCCCGCGAGTGGGGGGGCTCCCGAAGTCACCGCCAACCCCGCCTGGCGCCCCCCCTGTTTCGCGGCCTTCCAGCGGGCCCTCTTGGACACTCACGGGGCGGCTGGGCTCGACGGTTGGGGGGGCTTCTGAATTGCAGGGCCTCTCGGACCACTGCCCCGGCTTTCTTCGTGAGCTCCGGGCTATCCTCGTCGCCGCAGTGGAATTCCAAGGGGGCGCCGGCCCTTGGCCCGACGAGCGCGCGCGGGCTTTCGGGGCCTTGAGGGCGGTCGGCATTCCTGAGCGGGGGTCCGGCGACGCCCGGCCGATCGCGATCGGGCCGGTCTGGGTGCGAGCGCGGGGTCGTTGCCTCCTCGACGCGCTTCCCGCGCCGCCCGCCGAGGCGTTCGGGGAGAGGGCCGCTTTGGCCTCCATGGCTGACTGGGCCGCCGCGCCCGGCGGCGCGGGAGCCTATGGGTCGACCTGGGCCGGGCGTGCGATTCGGTGGACCACGGCGTCGCGGGCGACGCCCTCAGGCGCCGAGGTGCGCCGTCTCCGGTCGTGGTTACCCTCGGCGCGGTCTGGCGGGCCCCCTGGAGTTGCTCGGTGGCCAGGAACATTGCTGCTGCCTTGCGCCCTGCTCGGGGCCTGCCGCCCGGCGACCCCCCCGCTGGCCGGGTCCTCAGCGTGGTGCTCTGCCCCTGGCGCGCCGCGGTCCGTTCGGTGCCCGGGGCGCGCGTGCGGTCCAACGTGGGCGAGCGGTCCTTCAAGGCCACCGCGGCGGTTGATCGGGACAGGGCCTTAGCGATCGCTGCGGAGACCGATTGGCGGCTCGGCTTTCCGGTTTCCGTCGGGAAGCGGGAGGTTTGGTCGGGTGCCCAGAGCGCCGGACACATGGGAGCGCGGGCCGCTGTCGGCGTCGCCGCGACCCGGCCCTAGCTGCCCGAGCCTCGGGACGGATGGGGCCAAATCCGTTCCCAGGTGCGCGGGCTCCGCAGGTCCCTGGCGGGCAGTGGATCAGGGGGCTCGCGGCTCTGATGTGCATCGCCCCTAAATATCGGTGGTCGGCCCCGTTTTGCGCGATCCCGCCACGTGACCTGATCGCGCTCGCGCTCAGGTCCGGTATCCGAACTCGATGCGCTCGGCGATGGCGCGCCGAACGGGTTTCGGTGCACCCGGTTTTCGGCGCGGCGGGCGCGGTGCTGAAGGCGGCTCGGGGGGTTCCCGCGTCGCGGTTGTTGTCTGTGGCGCTCTCGGAGCATTCCGGGGTGTTCGGGCTGCTCCCGTTTTCGCTTGGTCGTTCCCCGAGGGCGTCTGGCTGCTGCCGGCCCCGGGGCTCGACCCCCGGGCGGCGGTGGCGGTCGCCGCTGCTGCTGCCGCTGACAGCCGCGAAGCGAGAACCCGGCGCCCTGGGGCCTCCTCCCGTCCCCCCCGAGGGCTTTCGACGCCTCTTCCGATCGCGATCAGCGCGTTCTCCGGGAGTGCGCCCGGGCGGCGCTCCTTCGCCCCCGGGCGGTGCCCGGGCCCCCGCCGCGGCGCGACGAAGAGGGGGTCGGAAAGATCGATCTGGCTGCCCAGAGCGCGCCGCCGTGGGCCCAGTTCCAGCGATCGCTGGGCCGATGCGGCACGGCCCTCCTCGCCGTCTGGAGGGGCGGGGCCGTGTGCGGGCCGGCCCGCAGGCACGGCGGCGCATGCGTTTGCCCATTCGGTTGCGGGCGCGCCCAGGCCTCGGCTTGGCACTTTTGGGCTGAGTGCCCGCGTTTTGCTGGGCGTCGGCACGAATTCGGAGAGAGGCTGCGGGTCGCGCCGGCTTGGAGGGGGGTCCAGCCCCGCGTCGCTGCGAAGACGGGGTGGGTCACTCAGGCTGCGGGGGGCTCTATTCAGCGACGGGCTCAGCTGCAGGTGATGGCGTGCCGCCTGGGCATCGCCATCATGCAGGCGCTCGTTGGCCTCGGCGGGTGGGCCTTCGGGGATGCGGTCTCCCCACCTGGTGCCCACCGGGGTCCTCCCTCCTTTCTGTCCCCGCTCCCATCGGCGGGCGGCGGCCTGGCGGGCGGCAGGGCGGGCGGCGACGCCGACTCTGACGACCTCCCTCCCCCTCCTGGTGGTGGTGGCTGTGGTGGTGCTATAGTTGCCAAGGTCCGATCGAATTCACTTGGTGTCCGGTCCGATTCGCCAGCCGTTTCCAGCGCCTCGTGCCGGCCCCTTCCGCTCTGCGCCCCGGCCGCTCTGGTCTGGGGACGTAACTAGGCTTCGCAGGCGCTCCGCGCCTGCTTTTTGAGCAGCCAGGGCAAAGGCACCCAGCTGCTCTTCATTCTTCAGAAGGAGGAGGAGGAGGAGGAGGAGGAGGAGGAGGAGGAGGAGGAGGAGAGGAGGAGGAGGAGGAGGAGGAGAGGAGAGGAGGAGGAGGAGGAGGAGGGAGGAGGAGGAGGAGGAGGAGGAGGAGGAGGAGGAGGAGGAGGGAGGGAGGAGGAGGAGAGGAGGAGGAGGAGGAGGAGGAGGAGGAGGAGAGGAGGGGGAGGAGGGAGGAGGAGGAGGAGGAGGAGGAGGAGGAGGAGGAGGAGGAAGAGAGGAGGAGGAGGAGGAGGAGGAGGAGGAGGAGGAGGAGGAGGAGTGGGCGAGGGCGCTGAAGATGTTGGTCTTGGCGTGGGTTAGGCTCGGGGTGACTCACGCACCTGCGGGTGAGGTCGGCGCTGGGTGAGTCAGGCGCTGGGTGAGTAAATTGCCGAGTGAGTTGGGCACCAGGAGAGTGAGGCGCCGGGTGAGTTAGGCGCAAATGCTGGGTGAGTCAGGCGCTGGATGGGTTCCTCGTCAGGAGGGTGAGGGCTGGGTGAGTGGCGCGCCGAGTCAGTGAGGCGTAGGGTGAGTGAGGTGCCGGGTTAATTGGGCACCAGATGAGTTCAGCACCGGGTGAAGGAGTCACCAGGTGAATGAGGCACCAGTGGAGTTGGTCACCATATAAGTTAGCGACCAGGTGAGTTAGCGACCAGGTGAGTGAACGATTGGTTGAATGATAGGCGCTGGGTGAAGTAGGTTCCGGGTGAGTTCGCCGCAGGGTGATTTTGGCACCGGGTGAGTTGGCGACCTGGTGATTTAGCGACCTGGTGAGTTAGCGACCAGGTGAGTTAGACACCAGACCAGGTGAATTGGGCACCGGGTATGTTGGGCACCCGTTGAGTTAGGCGCCCGGTGAGTTGGGCACTGGGTGAGCCAGCGCCCGGTGAGTTAATCACCAGGTGAGTTAAGCGCTGGGTGAGCTAAGGCTGGGTGCATTCAACACCAGGTGGGTTGGACGACGCCGGGTGAGTTGAGGCCAGGTGATCGTGCTTTTTCGAAACGTCGGCCCCCCAGAGGTCTGTAAACCTTCCTTGGGACCAGTTGTTTATCTTGTTTTTTTTGATGGTCCCGAAGTCCGAAAACAGCTCAAGCTCTTCGGTCGTGATTGTTTCCCGACGCGAAGATGTGAGGGTTTTTTCGTTGCGTCTCTGGCGTTATCCTTTTTCGTTTTTGATTGTCTGGGGCCCGAAACTGGCCCCCGAAGGCCGAAATCTATAAAAAATGCCAAGTCCAATCAAAGATACCGTCGGAGATTTGGGAAAGCGTTGTGCCGTTTTCCGTTGGGTCTCTGGTTTGCCTCTCTTTGGCCCCGCGGTCCGCAATGGCCCCCGCGGGGACCGGAAACGGCGGAACAAAAACAACCATCGAACTTCGTAAACAAATCGACGACGACGACGCCAAAGTTCGCCTTTTTCCTGCTGTATCTTTGGGATTGCCTTCCCTTGGACTTATTCAGGGGTGCGTTTGGAGCAGAACTTCGTGCCGAATCCAGCCGTGGCCACGGGGAGGCCCAACGAGGCCCAAATAGGGCGAAACACGCACAACAACTGTCGAAGACCTCGACGAAGATGTAGCTTCGGATGTGACTTCTAGGAGGTTCAATTCTGCATCGGCGCTGGCATTTGTTGGTGACAATCCCGAGCTTATCTGGCCTCATTCCTGTTGGTCCCATTTGATCCTGAAGAATTTGGGTCAATCCTCAGGTCAATGTGGCTCAGTCGCCCCTCCATGGGGCCTGATCGGCATTATTTTTCTGGCGAATACCTTCCAGTATGTGTCCCTTAATTTTAGGTGGGGCATGCCCTCCTACAGGCGGATTCTGGGCGAAGAAAAAAACAATAATCAAACAAGGATCCAACAGTAGTCATATAGTCAAAACATCGTCCCCATATCCTGTTTTTACCATTTCTGAATGCTCCTCCTCTGGACATGCCCGACCGAATCCTACTGCTGGCCTGCCCCCCCCCCCTGGATTCTGGGCGAAGAAAAAAGAATATTCAAACAATGATCGAACAGTAGTCAAATAGTCAAAACATCGTCCCCATATCCTGTCTTGACCATCTCTGAATGTTCCTCCTGTTGACATGCCCGACCGAATCCTGCTGCTGGCCCCCCCCCCCTGGAAGGTGGCGAGGTGGGCGGCGCGGGCCGCGAGGCGCTCCTCGGAGGCCTGGCGGCCGCGTGCCTCGTGCCGCTCGCCGCGGCCTGAGCTGCTCCCGCGGGCGCACGGGGCGCTCTCAGGAGGGAAAGAAACACACAGACACAATTCATCGACGATCCCCCAGAACATAGGAGGAAATGTGGGAAGTGGGGGGGGGAAGACAAAAACCCAGAAAATATGGAAGAGTACGGGGACTCCTGTTATTTGTGTGTATTTATTTGTGTGTCCCAGGGCCCCTTCACACTCGACGGGGGTGTCGTCAGGAGGTTCACCACCCGCCAGGCCACCCCGAGCCAACCCTCGACTGGGGGATCGACTACGGAATTGATCTGCCCCAAAGTTGACCGTCACGTCGACTCTTCGACAATAATACGTCAACCGTTCGTAGACCTGCGAAAGTTCTACGAATTGCCCGTGGATTCGACCAGAAAAATCAATTCTGGGGCCAACCAATTCTGGAGTCGATCTCCTACTCGAAACTCGAACGCCTAAATTTACCCTCGATTTCCAGGGGTGGATGGGGGGGGGTTCGGGGAACATGGGGAAAGCACGTGTGGAACTCGTGCCCCCTCCCCCATCCGAAACTTGGGTCTTCGGGTGAGGTTGGGGTGGTCTGGTAGGTAGTCGGGAGGCACCCAGAGGTCCGAGGCTCAGAAACAACAATTGGCCGCTGGTTTTACAAGGTTTTCGGCCTCCGCGGGCCCTTAACGGGCCCTGTGACCGTTAAAAAACAATTCTCGGCGGCGAGCAAGGGGGGGAAGCGAGAAGGAAAAGGCCTTCTCAGAAGGCGGCGGGGCTGGTCAGAAGCCCTCCGGTCTTCGAGAGGTTTTCTGTGTCCTCGGGAAAGCTTAGAAAACTCTTCGGAAGGCCTGGGGACTTCCGAGCCTTCTGAGAAGGCCTTCTCCTTCTCACTTCCCCTTCTCCCTCCGCCGACATTCATCAGGACTAAACACCGGCCCTCGTACAGTTTCCCAGATTTCTTGAGGCCCACGCATCGAAAGCAATGCAGCGTCGGATGTCTGGGCACGTGCGCCAGGCGCCCCTTACCCCAGAGGTTCGAGGCGGCTTTGGGGCGCTCTTCGCCCCTCTTTGCGCCTCCTGGGGCTTCCTGGTGGCCACGGCCGGATTCTCGTCGAGTTCTTGTTAGAACGCATCCTGTGGGTCGATTTTTGACCCCAGGACCCTCAGATCTTCGCGTCGCGAAGAACATCATAGCCGTTGTGTTTTTGACGTTCTCCGCTTCCCGGGGCCCTCGGCAGGCTCCAGGACCGTCAACAAAACGATTTGGGACAACAAAATCCGTCCTAGGGAAGGTCTCTAGGCCTCCAGGAGCTGGCGTTGTGGAAAAAACACGGCGACGGGCATTTGGGCGTATCCAGTTGAGAGTTCGGGCGAGGTGTGGGAAAGCCAGGCAGCCCCCAAAGGGGCAGCAGCTAATGGCGAACGGGCCAGGAGAAAGCTTGAGCACGAAGCACGGCGAAGTCGAGCGGCCTCGGTTTCTCCAGCCGCTTTCTTCTTGGGGGGGGGGCATGCATGCTCGTTCGCCACTACAGTGCCGGTTTTAATACATGCTCCGCGTTCGGATCATGGATTAAACATACAGGGATCCAGCATTAAAAACAACGATGAGTTCATACATACATTTATTCGTACATTAATCATGTATTAAATATCCTACATTTTTAAACATCCTATGTATTAAAAACTGCCCTGTAGTTGCCGCTCATCCTCGCGGCCCAGGGCTGGAACGCAGCTTCGCCGTGCTGATTTCGACTGCCCGCCTCGATCTTGGTAGAGCCTCGCTTTTGATGCAGCCTCGACCTGCGGAGGACGGCAGGGCTATGTCCCTATCGCCGTCCGATTGATACACAGAGAGTACCGATGAGGGTAGGCTATCTCCGGGCTGACGCCTTCGTCCGCGGGCCCTCCGACGCATGACAGGAAGGCGATGGCACGTATCCAAAACTTCCACGGGCCGCTATTTTGTTCCTTCTGGACTTCTTGGGTGGCCTGCTGAGTCATCCTGGTGGCCTGCTGGGGGCCCCTGGGTCAACCTTGAGCAATCTGGCGGGTTTCTTTGGGGCTCCTTGGGCCGTCTTGCGGTCGTCAGGGGCATCTCGTGGGTGGCCTCTTGGGTACTTCTTTGGCGTGTGCTTGCCCATCTTGGGGGCGTTTGGGGGGCGTTTTGGGCAATCTTGCGGCATCTCGTGTGCCTCGGAGGCAGTCTTAGGCCATCATGGTGGCCTTTAGGGGGCATCTTGGGGCCTCTTGGGTGCTTCGGGCGGCGTCCGGAGCACCTCGATACATTCTGGATGTTTCGGAGGCAGTCTTGGGTCATCACGGTGGCCTCTTGTGGCCATCTTTGGCGTTCCCATAACGCGCGCACGCTCTCGCGCGCGCACAAGCACAAACACGAAAACACACAAGCGCACGAACACACGAGCGCACACACACACAAACACACGCAAGACACGTGCGCACGGAAACGCACAAACACAGCAGCACAGGCACACACGCACACATCAAAACACAAACACACGCACGCACGCACGCACACACAAACACGCACACACACACACTCACACTCACACTCACGCTCACGCTCACACTCACACTGACAATCACACACACTCACACTCACACTCACACTCTCACACACACTCACACTCACGCTCACATCCACACTCACATTCGCATCTGCATTCGCATTCGCATTCATGTTCACATTCACATTCACATTCACATTCACATTCACATTCACATTCACATTCACATTCACATTCACATTCGCATTCGCATTCGCATTCGCATTCGCAGTCGCAGTCGCAGTCACAGTCACAGTCACAGTCACAGTCACGGTCACGTTCACATCACAGTCACAGTCACAGTCACAGTCACGTTCACAGTCACAGTCACGTTTGCATTCGCATTCGCATTCACATTCGCATTCACATTCACATTCACATTCTTATTCACATTCACATTCGCAGTCACATTCAGTCGACATTCACACTCACACAGAGTCACATTTATATTCACATTCACATTCACATTCACATTCACACTCACATTTGCATTCACAGTCACAGGTACAGTCACATTCACATTCACACATGCAAACACAAACACATAGGTGCACAAACGCACAAGCACACACATTCGCACATTTACAGTCACATTCACATTCGCATTCGCATGTACATTCGCAGTCACAGTCACATTCGTAGTCACATCCACGTTCACATCCACATTCACGTGCACATTCACATTCACTTCATATTCTCTTCACATTCACATTCACAGTCACAGTCACATTCGCATTCTCATCTACAGTCGCAACCACATTCACATTCACATTCACATGCACACTCACATTCACATCAAAACTCGCATTCGCATTCAATTTCACAGTCACATTCATATTCATATTCATATTCACAGTTGCATTCAGATTCGCATTCACAGTCACATCCACACACTCACAGTCACATTCACACACACGCAAACACAAACATGTAGGCGCACACACGCACAAACTTTTACCACACAAGCACACAAGCACGCAAGCTCGCGCGCGCACAAGCACGCACGAGCATACGCAAGCACGCACACACACATACACGCACGAGCATACACAATCTCAACCAAGCACGCGCAGCCACACACACAACCATACACGCGCAAACACAAGCACGCGCACACACGGAACCCCCCACAATCACACACAAACACATTTTCGCACATGCACACAGTCATACACACATAAGGACACGCGCAAACACACACGCACACAGAAACACACCCACGAGCACACACACACACACCACGCACCCACGCGCCCACGCACCCATACCCCCACACCACCGCACCCAAGCGCCCATGCACCCACGCATCCACGCCCACACTCACCTTTAAGTCGGCGGTTCAGAGGATCCTGAGGCGCGGACGGCAGGTGGACGTGCCAATTGCGATCGAGCGTTGTCGAAGGCACAGTGTACAAACCGTGCGCACTGTCGAACACAGCGATGGGTGGTGTGAAGGAGGAACGGTACATCCAGGCGAACCGTGGAGCGGCCAGAAACCGAGGAAGCAAGTTTGCTCGAGGTAAACTGAAGCGCGAGCAGACTGATGCGAATTGGTGGCCACTGAATCACCAGAGGGTGTTAGACGATGAAGCGCATGAAGACTTGAAGTGACTGTACAGGCTGCCAGACCAGCCGAAGGGAGTGCAGCAAAGACTCACCACGAGCAACCAGCACGGGCTGGCGCGTGGCAGCAACGCCCACGCCCACACGCACGCGCACACGCACACGTTCACACTCACGTTCACGTTCACACGCTCACGCTCATGCACGCGCACACGCGCACGCACGCGCAAACACTCATAAGTACAAGCACAAGCGCAAGCACGATCACACGCACAAACTCAACCCTGAATGCACGCACAAACACAAACCTACACAACACACAAGTACGCCCGCACATGTGTGTGTGTGTGTGTGTGTGTGTGTACGCAGTCCGCTTCTTTGGAAGCCACGTTGCGAAAGTTTGGAGGCCTCTGGGGCAGTCTGAGCCCCTCAAGGGCGCACTTGGGGTGTCGTGGGTCCGTTCTGGCGTCATGTCGTGGGCCCGTTCTGGCGTCATCTCGGGGCATGTTGGGGCCTCCATGTCTCATCCTAAGGCCTCTTGTGGCCCTTTGAGAGCTTCTGGAGACAGTCTGAAGGCCATGGAGACACCCAAAAGGCCCAGATACAGAGCAGTATAATTCGTTGAACTTGTGTGCAGACATCGCGTGAATCCACCATAAGTTTAGCTGCGTCTTGGAAGTTCATGTACTTCGATAGCGGCCTCGAAGGATGGCGAACTGAACCTGTTCGGGCCCTGGGGAATAGACAGACTGGAGAGAGGAGCTTCTGTGTCACAAGCGTGTCTTGCAGTAGGCCTTTGCCCAGCAGTATTCTATGAAGCTTGATCGATTCCAAGTGCGCCTAGCCCAGCCTGATTGCCTCCTTAAGGGGGGCCAGTGGGTCTCTGAGTTCTGCACGCGTTAATACTGCACCATCTCAGAATCCGAGGGGGGATGTTTTCTGCATGCAGCGCGGGTGTCTGCATGAAACTTTCAACCGGCACCGGTGCAGTGGATCACGTCGTTGATCGCACCGCGCCGTGACCAAGGGGTCGTATTTGTAGTTTTTTGACGCAATTGAGCAGGGGATGCATTTTTGGACGCGCTCTCCGATCGGATCTTTTCCGATCTGGTACTGGGGCGCCGCCGAGGTCCACGACGCTGGCGCCGCGTGACATCTCACCTATGGCGTTCGCAAGCAAGACTTCTATGTGATTGCGATGCTGTCCATAGGTCGCAGTTCGGCGTCCAGTTGTGTTGTATTGAGCTGCTCATGAGGGCGGATGTCTATGTGCAGCGCAAGGACGGAGGTCCTGACAGGAGGCCAAGGTCCCCCAAGGCGCTCGCCATGCACAGAGGCGACTTGTTTACGGACTGCGCTTCATACGTGCGCAGTCGCGCGAGGGCGTCACTTCTATTTTCGGGGCCTGCACGAAAAAAGTGATCTTGGGCACGCAGGGGCGCATGTGGCGCGCTCTCGTGGGTTTGCTCGCGCACAGGGGTGTGCGGCCAGGCGGGTGAGGGGCGCGGGGATGTGTGTGCCTCTCCCTGGGTCTCGCGGGGAGGACAGCGCCCGTGGAACAAGTCACAGAAACTCCGGGGAAGAGCGGGAGAATCGAAAGCAAATGACAGCAAACACGATCAACGAAAACCACTTTTCGCGCACGGAGGCCCTCCGCTGGAGAATTGCCGCTGCGTCCACGGAGCTTCTCATCGCAGCTTTGCTTTGCAGCCAGGTGTCTGCATCCCTTGCTTCCAGGGGCAGAGCTCCACTGCGATTGGGAGATGCACGGGCAACAGTTTTCTAGCATGGGCGGGCTTCTTCAGTTGCAATTCGGGGCCGCGTGCACGGTTTTTTGGTTAGTGCATCGCCTCTGCAGCTACGAAGCTGAGGCTCGGGCAGGGTATCTCAGGCTTCCGGTGCGTCCCGGGGCCACCTCGGGGCCACCGCGGAGCTGTCTTTCGCCGTCCTCGGGCAGGACCTGTGCCCCATCCGTGTACGGCAGGTTGGCGTCGTATCGACAGGCGGCGACCCTAGCGCGGGCGTTTGAGGTTGAACGCCGCCTGTGGCCCAGAATCGGCCCATCCTTGGACGATCCGGCCATTTTTGAAAGGGCCGATCGTTCAAGTTTGAACAACCCCCGCGGTGTCAGGAGCCAACGCAGGGGTCGACACGACGCCAACCTGCCGTACAAGCTGGAAGCTTGACAGGAACGCCTGCAGCGCTAGGGCGAGAGCCAGATTCGGGAGACCACGTGTGCTCTGCATCCCCACGAGACACGACATGCGATGAAGTGCCCTGCGAGCTGCGCGCCCAGACCGCCCCATCGACGCGCCCCGCGGCGCGACGGGGAGGGCACGCGCAGAAGGAGCGGGATGGAGGAGCAAATCAAGGCGAGGAGGGGCATGGAGAGCAGGAGGGCGAGGAGGAGGGTGAGGAGGAGGAGGAGGAGGAGGAGGAGGAGGAGGAGGAGGAGGGTGAGGAGGAGGAGGAGGAGGAGGAGGAGGAGGAGGAGGAGGAGGAGCAAAAAGGCTGCGCCGACGTCCGGGACAGCCTCTGCCTCTGCGCTTGTCCTGCGCTCTCCGCAGCAGCGCTCCTGTCGTCTGCCCTGCCGGCAGGCCCCGCCCCCCCCTCCCCCCCGCCTCCTCTCCTTCCTCGGCCCGCCCCTCCTGTTTCTCACCAGTTCTCCGCCTCCCCTCCTTCCTTTTCTTCCTCTTCCTCTGCCCTTCCCCCCTCCTCGTCCCGCTTTCCCCATTATCCTCCCCTGTGCTCCTTCTTGGTGTTTTGTAAATGTACGATCTGTTATCCGTAAGGGCTTCGCCCCCTGCCGCCGGCCCCCTCTCTCGGAGAATGGGCCATGGAAGAGCTAAGTCATGAGGCTTTGGCGCTGTCGTGCAGCAGTATCGGAACTTCATGCGAGGCCGATTCGCAATCGGCAAAACCAACTGATCACAAGAGGGGTTACCACACAGGGCGATTGGTAAGACGTGTATGGTTTACGAGCTTGGTTACCACACCTTGGGATTAAAGGGCCGAGGGAGTACTCGCAGTTTGGGTTACCACGCCTTGCGATTGATGTGCGTGAGGGGTGGCACCGAATTTCAGAAATGTGGCAAATCCCATGTGTTTTTGGACCCTGACCCCGCGGATCTGCGTGAGGGGTGGCACCGAATTTCAGAAATGTGGCAAATCCCATGTGTTTTTGGACCCTGACCCCGCGGATCTGCGTGAGGGGTGGCACCGAATTTCAGAAATGTGGCAAATCCCTTGTGTTTTTGGACCCTGACCCCGCGGATCTGCGTGAGGGGTGGCACCGAATTTCAGAAATGTGGCAAATCCCCTGTGTTTTTGGACCCTGACCCCGCGGATCTGCGTGAGGGGTGGCACCGAATTTCAGAAATGTGGCAAATCCCCTGTGTTTTTGGACCCTGACCCCGCGGATCTGCGTGAGGGGTGGCACCGAATTTCAGAAATGTGGCAAATCCCTGTGTTTTTGGACCCTGACCCCGCGGATCTGCGTGAGGGGTGGCACCGAATTTCAGAAATGTGGCAAATCCCCTGTGTTTTTGGACCCTGACCCCGCGGATCTGCGTGAGGGGTGGCACCGAATTTCAGAAATGTGGCAAATCCGTGTTTTTGGACCCTGACCCCGCGGATCTGCGTGAGGGGTGGCACCGAATTTCAGAAATGTGGCAAATCCCATGTGTTTTTGGACCCTGACCCCGCGGATCTGCGTGAGGGGTGGCACCGAATTTCAGAAATGTGGCAAATCCCTGTGTTTTTGGACCCTGACCCCGCGGATCTGCGTGAGGGGTGGCACCGAATTTCAGGAATGTGGCAAATCCCCTGTGTTTTTGGACCCTGACCCCGCGGATCTGCGTGAGGGGTGGCACCGAATTTCAGAAATGTGGCAAATCCCTGTGTTTTTGGACCCTGACCCCGCGGATCTGCGTGAGGGGTGTCGATTTCGAGCCCCCCAGCAATTCAGACAACGCGCCCAGGAGGTGCTAATCAACTAGTTACAGTAACCAGCAAGAAGCAGAACTGTAACACTGGAAACTACAAGCTACAACTGGTACAGGAAACTGCGAATCACGGTCCTACAGCCTGGTGGCCCCACAAGGGGGCCGGCGGATATATTTACGTATTCATTCTTTTTTATAATATATTTGTGTGTATATATATATACACATAATGTATGCTTTTTTCCCAAGTGTCCCTGCTTCTCTCCCCCTCTCCCGTCCTCCCCCCTCTTCGCCCTCCCCCTCCTCTTCCTCCCTTTTTCTCCCCGCCGTCTCCTCTCTACCCTCTCTCCCTCCCTTCCGCAGAGGTTAACGAGGCGATTCAGCATCACGGGGCTTTCGAAGGACGTCGTGAAGGAGACCGGCTCTCCACCAGGTTCAGACTTTCCTAAACGGGGCTAGGGTAAATGCCCACACCGACGTATCGGCGTTGCGGCAAGGCTTTGGGGTTTTGCTCGCTTTCAGGGGCAACGTCGGGCGGAGAGAGGATGGGCTCAGGGGGGAATTGGGGGGCTATCGCCGACGTGTCGGCGACGCATCGCCGATTTCAGGTCGGGGCCCCTTCCTTTGAGCCAGTCCCGCCCTACCGTCTACGGCCAGAAAGTATGTCCATGCCGACCGGGGTCCAGGATCTCAAGGAGTGGTGGATAGGCCCGCGCGAGCGGGCAGATATCCGTATCCACCGTCCCTCGAGCCCCTGGCACGCATCCCCGCGGTAGTGGATGTGGATATCGTTTTTGTTCGCAGCGTACCCGTCGTGTCCCCGCACCGCTCCTGCACCTGTTGATGATCGACGAAGAAAAAATCGCATAAACATAAACTTTTGGCGTCCGCGCGGATTTCTTGGATCGGCGCTGGGCCCCCCTGGCGGCGCCTCTTGCGCCGCCCCTGGCGCGCTCCGCGCGCGCCGGGGAGGGGGGTCCGGCGCGGATCCAAGAGATCCGCGCGGACCTCGAACAGTTTATGCCTATGTGGTTTTAAGTTGATCTAAATGAGCCCCCCCCGCAGACTCGCCGACGTCCTCGCAGCGGATGGGCCGCCGCGCCACCGTCGCCTGACGACGCAGCGGCGGGGGGCAGCGCTTTGCTCGGCGGTGCGGCTGGCGGGAGAGGCTCAAGGGGCCCAGCCCTCCAAAACATAATTATTGAACAGGCCACTGCGTAGTGGTTTCGTCGTTTTCGGCGTTTGGGGAGCCCTCGCCAGGACAACGGGCCGTCATGCAACGGGTCCGGGAGGCAGAAGAGGTTTCGGGGAGTGGTGTAGAGCCCGCGGGAGCCTGTATCGAAAAAGTAAGACGTTGGGGTTTTCGGAGCGGGCCTTCTCGGACGGTCCAGAAAACTTCAGGCCTTTTGGGGAAAGCTTTCTCAGCGTCCTCCGAGGCCACGGAGGGTTCAGGCCGCCAGTGTTTTGAGAAGCCCCGCCGTCTTTGAGAAACCCCGCCCGCTTTCACTTCCCCCCACGTAGGGGTGCATTTCCTATGAGGTTAACTTTTGAATCAGCGCTGGCATGTCCAGGGTCGAAAACTGGCCTAATCTTGCTGAGCGCCGCTTGATCCGTCTGAAGCCCGCTCAATTCCGCTTGATCCTGCTGGGTCCGGCTGAATCCCAGACCTAAGCCCGGGCCTGATTTTGCTTAATGGCCTCCTTTTCCTGCTTCAGTCAGTCGTGTCTGGCGCTTAAGCGGCGCATTGGCGCGATGACCATGGCAGCCATGGCACAAGCGTCGGGGTCCCTGTTGGACCCGTGCTAAATCCTCCAAGTTGCGATGGAGCGCGTTGGCAAAATGAGCGCATCACGACTGTGACGCAGAAAGCATAAAGCGTACCACGACTGTGAGCCAGAATATTGAAGCGCCCGACAGCGAAGCAGAGGAGCAGGAGGGAAGAGGAAGCTGGGAAGAGGAGAGAAACGATGACGTCAGAGCCCGCGTTCTGGCAAAAACGAACAGACACTAGAAGTCCATTGCTGTTTTGGTCTCCCTCTCTTCGTTTTGTGACCCACTGCCTAGGCAACTTTGTACCAGCCTCACACGTGAGGAATATGAGGAGTCAACCTTCTGGGAGTGCCGAAATCCTCGTGTACAAATTCGCTTGCCGATCGTGGAGCGTTTCGCTTAGCGGCGGTTCTTGTGCACGTCCCAGAAATGTTTGGTTAGAACTTATAGACACGCATGCACTCGGGATTCTGCAACTACGTTGGAGGAGGGAGGAGGGAGGAGGGAGGAAGGAGGGTGGAAGGAGGGAGGGTGGAAGGAGGGAGGAGGGAGGGAGACAGAAATTCTAGACACGTGCGCACTCGGGATTCTGAAACTACGTTTCACGCATTGCGCGTGGAAGCTGCCTAAGCGGACTCTGTCCGCCTGCAGCGCCCAAGCAGTCTCCAGATGATACAACAGCTTGGGCCAGACAATTGCCTATCTAGTTGGATTGTTCGATCGCGGCAGATATCGGCGTGCGACCAGCAATTCGGCAGAGCTTTCTGTAGAGACTTGACCTCACAAACTCTCCACGTAACTTCAGGTTTTGCCGAGCATTTTACATTCAAGAGTCCTCCAGCGTACACCGCTTGCTCCACTATCTTGAGCGGGGCGCCCTTGGGAGAGAGCACAGGATCAGTGTTATCTACACTCGTGCACAACGTTTTATCCGAATTCAGATCTAATCCATATCTGGTGTCTTCGTCGTTTACTGTGTTGAGTAGAGTGAACAGTTGCCATGGTCACTGCTCAGTCGCATTGTGTCGTCGGCGTAGAACAAAGCACGGCATGCTAAATAATTGGGCTTTCAGACAGCACCATGTAGGCCAGCCATTCTGTTGTCGACGTCGAAGAACATGACATTTAGTACGATTGTAAACAGATGTGGTGACAATGGGCGCCCCTGTGCGATCCATGCTGCTTGAGGTCGTTTGCTGGATTCCATGACAGGGTCCCGCAACACAACACATCAGTGCTGGTACATTTCTGTACACCACCCCACGCGCCATAGGCTTTAACCGTTTTTGCTCTCCGCTCGCTTCCTCCTCCTCCTCCACCTCCTCCTCCTCCCTGTTACGGTCTTGTGCAACATTGTATCCGCAGCGCGGCTGCTTTCTCTTTCAGGCTACTGTTCACAAACTGAGTTTGCCTATTGCAGGTCGGCTGTCGTGGCGTTCCTTGTTTGCTCGGCGTACCTTTGTGTCGTTCCGTGCTGCCTGCCGCGAAGCGGGGACATGTTGCGGCCGCCTCCTCCTCCTCCTTCTCCTCCCCCCCTCAAACAAAAAAAGCTTCTGTGCATTCAGATCGCCACTATCATGTTCAACATGTCTGGTGGGATGCCGAATCTTCGAAGCGCCTCCACAAGTGTATTGTGCTTGGTCCGGTCGTAGACCAGTCCCAAGCTACTACAACCAGCCCTCGATATCGACATGTCCCTGCAGCCTCGAACAGCCTCCGGGCAATGCTAATCGCCTGGGAGGTGCCTCTTCCAGGGCGGAAACCGAATAGAGTTGAGCGAATTCTGTTCTCGGCCCCGCCATTTTGAATCCGTTTCCATAGCCTCCGCGCCAAAAGTTTATAACGAATCGGCAGAAGATAAATAGGCCGATAATTAGTCGGAAAACTAGCGTGTCCATGTTTGTGTAACAATGCAACGACTAAGGTCTGCCATTCTTCTCTTATTGTCTTTTCGTCCCAACATCTTGGAGAGACGACTAACAATTATCCGCCATCTTCTCTGCTTAGTAGCCCTTGATTTTTCCCCAACCATCCTGTGGTGTTGGGTCCTCGCTTTGATGAAACAGTCCCGCGTCCCCCCCTCTCCTCTCCTCTCCTCCTCTCGCTCCTTCCTCCTCCCACCCTTGCCTCTGCCCTTCGCATGTCAACCAGTTCGGCCCCCCCGCCCACCTCCTCACTTTGGCACACCCTCACACGTTTCGTGGCCCCACAGGGAGCCTCACCGAAGGCTCCAGTGGCTGCTTTCGCATGCCGCCACCCCCTTCACTTGGGCACACCATTCACTCGTTTCGTGGCCCCACATGGAGCTCCACCGAAGGCGCCAGTGGCTACGGTCTCATGCCGCACCCGCGTGTCTTCTCCTGCTTCTCCCAGCTTCTGTCAGCAGCAACGGGTTACATCCTCATGTAACACGTTTCGTCTGACCTCCGCGCCCCCTGCGGGCAGCCCCAGCGGCAGCGCCCGCATGGCGGCCCCGCCTCATTTCGGCGCTCCCTTCACGCGTTTCGTGGCCCCGTAGCGAGCTCCCCCGAAGGCGTTTTTTCATAGCGGCGGTATTCACAACTGCATATAATTGGGTTCTTCGCCAGGGTAATTTGGCGAAGAGGCCTCCCAGGAGTGGCTTCCGAGCCCTCGGTGCGCCGCCGAATTCGACGCAGCGACAGGGTCAGCGCTGCGGAGGGGGGCGGCCGAGCAGAGGGCGCCCTCGTCGCGAGCGCGAGCGGCGGGGAAAGATGTGGTCTGGCCTGGGCAGCGGGTGGGGGGACGTTCGTTCGTCTGCACGCCCGCAAGTGGTAGTACGGGAAGAGTGGGTCCTCTCTCCTGCTCCTCCTCTTCCTCCTCCTCCTCCTCCTCCTTACTCTCCTCCTCCTCCTCCTCCTCCTCCTCCTCCTCCTCCTCCTCCTCCTCCCTCCTCCTCCTCCCTCTCTCCTCCTCCTCCTCCTCCTCTCCTCCTCCTCCTCCTCCCCTCCTCCTCCTCCTCCTCCTCCTCCTCCTCCTCCGCTCCTCCTCCTCCTCCTCCTCCTCCTCCTCCTCCTCCTGTCGCCCCAGCTTAGCAGCGACCGCTGCCGGCTTTGGACAGCATGCGTTGTGAAGATCGTGTTCGTTTGTCCCGTGCTCTTTTCGGGCATTCAGAGTTCAGGGGGGCGATCGGCTCCGGGGCGACGTTCGAGGTGTTTTCGGACATTCTCCTCGGCGCCTGGATGTTTTCCAGCCTCGGGGGTGCTCTCCAGCAGCTGCGCCTCGCCGAGAGACGCTCGTGGGTGCCTGGATCGTCCCACGCGACCGCCAGAGCCTCGAGGTGTGAGCCGAAAGCCAACGTCGGGTGGTGATAGGCTGGGGGCGGGGCTGCATCGATTCCCAATCGCCCACTCGTGGCCGAAGGCCTCGCGGCACAGCAGGGCGGTGCCGTATCCCTCCCCCCCCGAGCGGGGTCCCCCCCCGGTCGCTCCCCCTGAGGGCTGCGGGGAGCGGACGCGATCCGCGGGGGGGCCCTGGGTGCGGCTCGGGGCTTCCGGGGACGGAGGTGCTCCCAGGTCCCAGCCGTCGTGTGGTGTTGGGTCTTCGTTTCAGGGAGACGGCGGTGGCGTATCCAGGAGAACGGCAAATGACATAAACGTAACAGCTCGGAGGTCCGCGCGGATTTCTTGGATCCGTGCTGGACCACCCTCCCTGGCGCGCGGAGCGCGCCAGTGGCCGCGCCGGAGGCGCCGCCAGGGGGCCCCAGCGCGGATCCGAGAAATCCGCGCGGACTTCCGATTTTTTATGTTTACGTATGTCGTTCTTCCTTCCCCTAGGTGTTGGGTCCTCGTTTTGAGGAGACGGCGTTGACGTATCGACGACCCCCGCCCGCTGTTCCCTTCCTCCATCCCCGAGCTGGGTCCCCCCGGGAGGAGGAGGAGGAGGAGGAGGAGGAGGAGGAGGAGGAGGAGGAGGGTGAGGAGGAGGAGGAGGAGGAGGAGGAGGAGGAGGAGGAGGAGGAGGAAGAGGAATAATAATAATAATAAGAATAAGAAGAATAATACTAATAAGAAGAATAATAATAATAAGAAGAATAAGAATAATAATAAGAAAAATAATAAGAATAATAATAATAATAATAATAATAATAAGAAGCATAAGAAGAATAATAATAAGAAGACGAAGAAGAATACGAAGAATAATAAACATAATAAGCAGAATAATCAGAATAATCAGAAGAAGAATAATACTAAGAACAATAAGAATAGTAATACTAATAATAATGAGAAGAAGACTAAGAATAAGAATAATAATAATAATAATAATACTAAGACGAAGAAGAAGGATAATAATAATAATACGAATAATAAGAATAATAATACGAATA